TAGAAATTTTAGGCATACTTAAATGCTACTGGAAAAGAACTAGTAAAGAGTGAGTTTGAAATATTGGGGCAAGGAAGAATGTATAATTGATGTAGGGAGGTGCCTGGAAAATCCGATGGCAAGGTGAGATCCAGGGTACAGGAGGAAGGATTGACCTTGGCTAGGAGAGAGACAGCTTTTCCATTGTGAGACAAAGGGAGGATGAAAGAATAAGGCTGCCAGCAAGTTTATAGTTGTGGTTATAGGATATTGACTGGATAGCTTTGACCTTGCTGAAATAGGAGACAAAGTCACCTGTTGAGAGTTAGCAGGTGATGGAGTAGGTGGTGCAGTAGAGGTAGTGCAGTGGAGAACTTTTATTTTAAAAATACATGCCTGCACCTAGTAAAACATATATATTTAAATAGTATAAATGGGTATAAAATAAAAAGAGGGGGAGTCACCTATCCCCGATCCTCAGTCTCCTAGTTCCTCACAGAGGCAGTGACTATTAATAGTTTCTTTTTTTTTTTTTTAGGTTTTTATTGGGGAATTGGGGGAAGGAGAACAGACAAGTTGCTGTCCTTTTTGTCCTTCAGTCTATTTGTGGAGGACATTGCTTCACTGGCCCAAGTTGGCACCATCATTTTGCTCTTCCCGGACGAGGCACATCAGTCGCCGGCTTCTGGACGGCCGCTCACAGCGGCTGCTGGCCACTCACGCCGGCTGCTGGCTACACACGGTAGCCCATGGCAACCCACTGCAGCAGGGGCTGCAGCCTATGCTGTAGCCGGCGACTCATGGCAGCCAGCTCCAGGTTGAGTTGTTTTTAAGCATCTTAGCTGTAGAGGGCAGTGTCACTAACCCTCATATGTGGGATCCGAACCGGGGCCCTCTGGCATCCCAAGCCAGCTCTTAACCAATGTGCCACTCGGCTGGCCTTATTATTAGTTTCTTGATTGTATCTCTAGACACATTCTGTGTATATACAAGTTAGTGCAAAATGATAGTATACCATTCTATTTTTAAATACAGTGATGTATCTTGGAGATCATGACAGAGACATTTTGATGTAGCTTCTGAGAAAAATGAATAGGGAAACTAGCCAACCTTAGAAACATTGGATGCTAGACAGGGCACCAGTCAGGTTGAAGAGTATGAGTTTATAAAGCTCCAAATCTGCCTGATTGGGTGTTTTTGTAAATCATTGCCCCCCCATCACACACACACATTGCATTACTCAGTAGCCGGGCATAGCATTGAGCTGTGAGTTCAGCTGAGCTATTGAGTTCTCTGTCAAATATATAGATAAACCAGGAGAATCAACAGAAATCTTGTCATGTATGTGGAGAAGAGACAGAGAAAGAGGAAAAAAGCAAATTTATAAACTGACTGGTATAACAATCTGTATAATCACCTTCTCTGGAAAAGGACAATTGCTAATTGTCTCAAAGAGGTGCATTGGGCTAATCTGATTTTTTTCATATTCACCCCCAGAAAAAGAAAAACATGAGCTTGTTTGATTTGTTGAATGGGAGAGAATTCTAAGAAGAATAAAATGTGTGAGCACAAATAGATGTGAATAAAAGAGATAAAGAAATTGTGATAGCCGAGATTACCTGTTGAATGTGGGAGAAAAAAATGTGTAAAAAGTCTGGTTTTGTGATAGAGTTTTTTTTGTTTGTTTGTATATTTGTTTCTACTGTTAAAATGTGTAAAAATAGAAGATAAAATTAAAGTTGTCTTCATGGTACAAGAATTATAACTTCTTACTCTGTCAAAAAAGGGTAGTAATAGTATCTACCTCAAAGGTAAGGATTAAATGCCATAAAATTGTAAAGCACTTAAAGGAATAGTGCATGGTTCATAGTATGCACCAGCAAATGTTAGCTTTTACTACTATTATTATGTAATATTTGAAAACAACTTTTAGTTTTACAGAAAAAATTATTAGAAAGTTCTAATAGGCCATGACCTGTCTCTCTAGCATTTAAACATTAATATTCCCTATTTTTTTGTTAACTACTGAAGATTTGTCTTTGCAAACCGTTTTAAATGTTAGTGTTTTGAGTGAAATATATATTGCTGATCCAGTTACACAGGGAACTGATTGTAGTCTCTTAAGCACCTGTATTCATCAATGACTATTGCGTGTTAAGCTACTAGCTCTTGACAGTAGTAGGTCTTCTCTGGGTGTAGAAAGAATGCCTTTTTTCCTTTAGATTAATTCATACCAAACTGAGATTCTTTGATGATTGAAAAAGCTAGAAAGATCGATCCTCTTTCTTTTCCAAGCTATGACTAAACAGGAAGAGGAAGGTGAACACTGGGTTAGCTGTATAACCTGATACCAGATTTTATTAAGAATAGTTAATATTGCTCAGATATTAACAAACAGGTACTGTAGGTAAGTACCATACCAAGAGGGCATCATCTTCATTAAATAGAATGACCGCTTTCCCAGTCTCATTTCTCTGAGCCATTCTTCTTTTTTTTTAAAGATTTTTATTGGGGAATTGGATGGGAACAGTTCTGGGGAATTGGGGGAAGGGGAACAGACAAGTTGCTGTTGTTTTGTTCTTCAGTCTAGTTGTGGAGGACGTTGCTTCACTGGCCCAAGTTGGCACCATCATTGCGCTCTTCCCAAGCGAGGCACATCAATCACCGGCTTCTGGACGGCCGCTCACTGTGGCTGCTGGCCGCTCACGCTGGCTGCTGGCTACACACGGTAGCCCATGCAACCCACTGCCACAGGGGCTGCAGCCTACGCCGTCGCTGGCAACTCACAGCAGCCCAGCTCCAGGTTGAGCTGTTGTTCAGCATCTTAGCTGTGGAGGGCAGTGTCACTGGCCCTCATATGTGGGATCCAAACCGGGGCCCTCTGGCGTCCCAAGCCAGTTCTTAACCATCGCGCCATTCGGCCGGCCCCTCTGAGCCATTCTTGCCAGCTCTTTCTTCCTTAATCTAAGTTTCCTGCTTTATTCTTTATCCCATCCTGTATTATAAAGTCATTTTGTAAAGTCATGCACTCATGTTCGTGTCATATAATTATTCTATATCCGTTAGTCCTTTTTTTTTCTTCTAATGCATGAAATAGCTAAATTTTCCTTCTATTATTTCAGATTATGAGTCCAGAAATGACAATGTGGAACTCATAGTAAAGCAGATTTCTGATGAAGCCGAATCGCAATGGATGATATCAGGAAGCACTGAAAGAAATGTTCCCGAGAGTCAAGAGTTTGGAGAAGTTAGTGACCTTCACAGCATGGTAGAAAGGTGGCAGGTAAACCCCACTGTGGGCAAGTCAAGGCAGAACCCTCCCCAGAAAAGAAATCTTGGTGCCATCACAGACATTAACCATAAGCAAAACACAAATGCCGAGAGAGGTCACAAATGTAATGACTGTGGTAAATTTTTCCTTCAAGCCTCAAACTTCATTCAGCATCGGCGAATCCACACTGGAGAAAAACCATTTAAGTGTGGTGAATGTGGGAAAAGCTATAATCAGCGTGTGCACCTTACTCAGCATCAGCGAGTCCACACTGGTGAGAAACCCTACAAATGTCAGGTGTGCGGAAAAGCCTTCCGTGTGAGCTCCCACCTCGTCCAGCACCACAGTGTACACAGCGGAGAGAGACCTTACGGATGTACCGAATGCGGGAAGAACTTCAGTCGGCACTCCCATCTGATTGAGCACCTGAAGCGCCACTTCCGAGAGAAATCCCAAAGGTGTACGTGTGAGGACTTTGTATCAGAGAATAAATGGAGGCAAACATTATTTGATTAGCTTAGAATGATAGCACCGATGGGTTGTGATGCTCAGAGCAGTAGGAAGGAGCAAAGATTACAGTCTATTTTATTATTATTTATACTTTAATTGTCAAATTAGTAGGCAAAACCCTATGCCCTCCCCGCCATCTTCACAACTTCCCTTTCCCCAGAGGTACCTGTTTTCAGCTCTATCTATTTCTCCTGATAATTCCATATTTTATTTTTTATGATTTTTTAAATTAATTTCAGGTGTACAAAGCAACATAATAGTTAGATATTGAAGCCCCTCATAAAGTGATAACCCACCCCCCAAGCTACTATCCCTCTGACATTTTATATAGCTGTTACAATACCATCAACTATCTTCCCTATGTTGTACTCCATTTCCTGTGACTATATATACCTATATATTTAACTATAGTTGACATTCAATATTATTCTACTTCAGCCCTTCAGGTGTATAGCGCATTGGTCAGGCATCTGTACAGTCTATGATGTGATCTCCCTGATAAGTCCAGTGCCCATTTGGCACTTTACATGATCTTTACAATATTGTTGATTATATTCCCATACTGTATTAACTATCAGTTTGTATTTCTTAATACCTTCGTCTTTTTCACCCTGCTCCCAACCGCATTCCCATCTATCACACAGTAGCCCATGGCAACCCACTGCAGCAGGAGTTGCAGCCTATGCCGTAGCCAGCGACTGATAGCAGCCCAGCTCCAGGTCGAGCTGTTGTTCAGCATCTTAGCTGTGGAGGGCAGTGTCACTGGCCCTCATATGTGGGATCCGAACTGGGGCCCTATGGCATCCCAAGCCAGCTCTTAACCAACGCGCCACTCGGCCGGCCCAGCCCTCCTGATCTTTAATGGTCACACGTGGGTGTGGGACCAGCCCATTCTGCCTCTTCCCTTCCTACCAGTCTGGAGGTGGCTTCTGCATGTCCTTAGTTGAAAGGCTTCAGTTCAGCTTGATTTTAGGTGATTCTCAATAATGGTTGTTTTGTAGATTAATTGTAATTTTGATGTGGTTGTGAGTGAAGGGTAGCACAGCGTTTACCTACTGGTCCATCTTGGTTGTCCCTCCCAATTCCATATTTTAAATCTGCTATTGCTTTACTCATCAATTTTAGACATTATTTGTTGACTTTCTATTATAGTAAATGAGGATTTTGGCTTTTACTTCTTTCCCTCTTTTCCCAATTTAGTTATTTCACTTATAATTTAAAATGCTAGAATAATAGTAAAGGACATTTGGAGGAAGGAAATTGGAAGAAAAAAAATCACCTGTAACCTCACCATCCTAACTAATAGAACTATTATTATATAGTGTATTCCCTCCTTTCCGTTTTCTTTTTTTTTTTTAATTAAAGTTTATTGGAGTGACAGTGGTTAGTAAAGTTACATAGGTTTCAGGTGTACAATTCTGTAATATATCATCTATATATCCCATTGTGTGTTCACCACCCAGCCAGTTCTCCTTCTGTGAGCATATATTTGAACCTCCTATCCTTTCATAAGTCTATTTTTACATAGTTGTATTCATAGGGTACAATTAAATATTAGACATACACATTTTCCAGTGTTGCTTGGCCCTCCTGTTTATTATTTTTGACAATCTGCCATTGTGTGGAGGCATCATAATTTGCTCAGCTGTTCCCCTGTTGAACTTCTAATTTTTTCTCTTTTGTCCTGATAACTTTGTTTATGCTTTTTTCTATATTCAGGATTATTTTCTTATAATAAATGCCTAGAAGTGGGATTAGTGGATGAAAGGCCAAAAACATCTTTATGGCTCTTCATATGTATTGTCAAATTGCTTTTTAAAACAATTATACCACATACGAGAGTTATCAATTGTACTAAAATTCTTCCAGGGTTATCAAAAATTTTTTTTAACAGATTGAGTAAGCAGAAGAGAATTCTTTGCTGTATTCATTTTTCATTAATTTGGTTATGAATAAGATTGAGTTATTTTCCTATTTGTTTACTTATTTTTTTAACCTCTTTAAATGACTTTTACAGGATGAGATTACCTTAAACTGTGCTGTGAACTTAATGGCTCTTATTAGCGTTCTTCAGAAAACTCTAAGACTGGCCAAAGTATTTATTTTTCAATTATGCTTTTGATGTCCCCAAGCCCAGCTACTTGTCATTCGCTTTGACAGCCACTGCCACCTCTTTCTAGCAATTGCTTTAAAATAGGGTCTTTTCTGTTGCATCTTCTCTGCAATTGTTCTTATGACTAGTTTCCTAGTTAACACCTACCTCCCCCCATTTCTTTGATGAAAAGAAGGGTACTTTGTGTGTTCTTCCAGTCATACTTATTGAGAGCCTCTAGTGCTGGATATGGGGGATACAGCAGTGAACAGAAGAGATGCAGTTCATGCCCTTGTGAAGCTGATGGTCTGGTAGGAGTAGCAGATACTGAGAGTGATGAGCATTTCCAAAGGAGAAGTATGGGGTGCCTTGGGAGGGAAGTTGAAGCTGGAGTGTCGGCTAAGGTTGAAGAGAGCAGAGACTGACACATCACCCACCCTCTTGACAATATTTTATACTGGGCCTATTTCTCTTTTTCTGGCTTCTAACCAGGTGTTCTTCCATCTCTGTATACCCTCCGTAATCCTTTGCTTTCCTTCCCATTCTTCCTGTTTTTGTCAGTTCTCACCATCCAATTGTGTATTTCTGTCTCATTCTGTCTGCATAACTCATGTTGTAGTAACGCCCCTTCCACATATTCTACCTCCTTTCCCATTTCAGAATTCCTGTCTTTCCTTTCCATATAATAAAAGTGCTTTGCTGATCCCTGTGATGGCCTAACCCCAATCATTCTTACCACCCTTCTAAGTAAGCCTGCTCTTTGTCTTGTTCTATTCACTGGAAAAATACCAAACGGTTCTTTTCATTCCTGTTGGCATCAAGTACATACATGCATCCCCCTTTGTTCCTCCTATTACATCATAGTTTCATGTGATTATCCTTTTTTTTCCTGACAGTTTATTTTTCTTCTGTAGAAGAATTGATGACATTTGCATTTCCTCTTTATTTTTTTCAGGCAGTGACAAAAGAAATAAGAATACAAAATTGAATGTTAAAAAGAAAATTTCAGAATTTTCAGATGCAGACATGGAACTCTCTGGAAGAATCCAAAGAAATGTTTCTCAAGTTCAAGACTTTGGAGAAGGCAAGTTGGAAAGAAAGCAGGGAACTCCCATGAAAGAGATTCTAGGACAACCCTCTTCAAAGAGGATAAATTTCAGTGAAGTCACATATGTCCACAAAAAGTCATCCACAGGAGAGAGACCACATAAATGTAATGTATGTGGAAAAAGTTTTATTCAGAGCTCCCATCTTATTCAACATCAGCGAATACACACTGGGGAGAAACCATTTAGGTGTGATGAGTGTGGGAAAAGCTACAATCAACGTGTGCATCTAACTCAACATCAGCGAGTCCACACTGGTGAAAAACCCTATACGTGTCATTTATGTGGGAAAGCGTTTAGAGTGAGATCCCATCTTGTTCAGCATCAGAGTGTGCACAGTGGGGAGAGACCCTTTAAGTGTAATGAGTGTGGAAAAGGCTTTGGGAGGCGTTCACACCTTGCTGGGCATCTGACACTCCACTCCAGAGAGAAATCCCATCAGTGTCATGAATGTGGAGAGATCTTTTTTCAGTATGTTAGCCTCATTGAACATCAGGTGCTCCACATGGGTCAGAAAAATGAAAAAAATGGCATTTGTGAGGAAGCATATAGTTGGAACTTAACAGTGATTGAAGACAAGAAGATTGAGTTACAAGAAGAGCCTTATAAGTGTGATATATGTGGCAAAGCCTTTAGGTATAGTTCTTACCTTATTCAGCATTACAGAACTCATACTGCAGAGAAAACCTATAAATGTGATATATGTAGAGAAAACGTTGGCCAGTGTCCCCACATAAAACAACATCAAAAAGCCTATTCCAACATAAAATCCCATCAATGTAATGAATGTGGCAGAGGCTTCACTCTGAAGTCACATCTTAATCAACATCAGAGAATCCATACTGGTGAGAAACCCTTTCAGTGTAAAGAATGTGGGATGAGTTTCAGTTGGAGTTGTAGCCTCTTCAAACATTTGAGAAGTCACGAGAGGACAGACTCCAGAAGTACCTTAAGTGTGTAGATGTTTCTGTTGTAGCAACAGTTCTTACTTAATTTTAGAGAAGTCTTCCTGAAGAGAAACCCTACTTGTATAATGAACGTAATAACAACTTCAAGCAGTTTTGCCAACTTAACCATCAAACCTATAGATATGCTGAAATGCTTCAGGTAGAATTTAGGAACACTGGAGAACAGTAGATAGATACCTGTTTGTTTTTCCTGTTGAGAAAATGCTTTCAATAGCAGACAAAAGACAACCCACAGATAAGGTGGATGAAAGAAACCCTTCAGGCACTCATTCTTTGTTTGAATCTCAAAACATTGACACTGAGAAAAGCCTCATGAATGCAGTAGATACAAGCTTTATTTGTAGTTTCTGCCTAGTTTGACAGCTTATTTATTCAGGGAAGAGCACAGGTAAAGGAGAAGAGAACTCTTCAGCCCGATATCCGTTTTGGTACCTCAGCAATGAACCTTTCCTAGATATGATTATCCCAGCCACTAGAATGCTCCAGTCATTGTTCCCAACGTAAGTATTAAACCATTTGAAATGAAATTGACTTAGGTATTTTGGCAAAATTGGGGTTCAGAGGCTAAATGGTATGTGTTCCTGCTGTCTTACTCAATCTACAAGTTCTCCGTGAAACACACTCTACTTTTTTGTTTTGTTTTGATTCTTGTAGCATCAAAGTTAGTTATTAGAAAGAGAAGTTCAGTTTGTCAATTCAGGGGAAACTGTTGGTCAGTCACATCTTGAGGTGAAGGGAGAGGGACCTTAGTGGAATAGAGTAGAGAAGACTAGTCAAACTGTGGACTGTTTATTTTCTGTTCCCCTCAAAAACGAGGGCAGCTACGTCCATAGAAGGAATTGGACCAAGTTGAATTAAGAATCGTGGTCCAAGCAGTATGTGTACCAATTCTCAGTTGCTCTGGAGATAGGTCTCCCCCACAGGATACTGGTGTGTAGAAAGAGTTTCAGTTTGAGTTGCAGGTGGATTTGAAAGCAAACAGTAATTCGGAGCAGGGAGGACATGGTCTGGTTAGGCCTGTCTTGTGGGAAAGTCTGGGTAGGAATTGTGGGGGAAAGAAGATGACATGGGGAAAAGAATTAGCCTGAGCCTTTTTACTAGAGAGAGGGATAGTGCTTTTGGGCACTGCTGAAGGCCTGCTTCTGCCGACTGCCTAGCATACAATAAACAATAAATACTGTTGACTGTTGTACACTGGTGTCCTGTTCAGATCCCTTTGATCAAGCTGGCACACCCGTCCTGTAGCTGCTCTGAGTTTTGGCTGCTGAGTACTCGCAGCTCTTCCCTTCTCTAGAGACTGGAGAACTTACCCTCAGATGGTGGGAGCTGCCTCCTCCCGGAGTTATCTGTCCTCCTCACTGCCCAACCACTGGCTGATATGGAGTACAAAAGGCTGATTCACTTACCTCAAGGCAGGGGGGATACCGTAATGTAGTTTATGTTCTAGAACCCACCCTTTGTGGATCAGGCCAAGGCTAGAGCTTAGGAGATTACATCCATGCCTGGCTCTTAGCCTTCTTGATCCTGTTTCATTCTCCCATGAAGACTTCCTGAAGAACACTCCCTCAGGTAATCAGTGGCTCTGAATCCCTGCCTCAGGCTCTGCTTTAGGGAACCTGATCTAAGACATGGTGTTGTGAGCAGTCCTAGGAGGCTGACTGTAAGAACGAATTCTGGAGCAGGCCACTGCCTATGAGACAGGGCAAAAGCTGTCACTTCCGGTGGGTGGGGTGGAGTGGTAGTCCCTGGCATGTGGTGGCTGTTCAGTTGTGAGACATTCACTGCTGAACTGGGATGGCATACAGGTGGAAAGGGATGTACTGACTTGAGTAAGATTTGGTGAAAAAATGAAAATATAAGGATTATGGAATTGGATGGTTCTTGCTGAAAGTCACTGATTGAAAAGGACACACTCGGAGGGCCGGCTGAGTGGCTCAGTTGGTTAAGAGCTCGCTCAAGAATTTGAGCTCTGAGCAACAGCGGTTCGAGTCCTGGCCCAAGCTGAGCAGCCGCTGAGCTGCCAATAGGTGGCAGGATGGCTCAGCCAAAAAAAAAAAAAAAGACACACTCGGGACAAATAACCACCAACTTAATGCAAAGTGTGAGTGTCCGAGGGCCTCCTTGGGAACATTAAGGAGACTTGTCTCCTGCAAATAGAATCATAGGACTAAAGGTCAGGTATAAAACTGGAGAGTGACAACTTCAGTAGAGCCTAGTGTTAACATTTATTGAGCATTTACCATGTTCTGAACATGCTATGTGCTTTATGTGGATCATCTCACTTAATCCTCACAACATTATGAGATGGTTTTGCTCATTAGCACCCTCGTTTTACAGTTGGGAAAAACTGAGATTCAGAATAGTTCATTCATTGTCAAAAGTCACACGACCCTGTGTGGCAGAACTAGCATTTGAACCCACGTCATTTTGCCTCCAAAAGCTAAGCTCTTAAACACTAAACTATGCTGTATCTTATATTATTAAATATCAAACATTACAAAGTGGTAAAACTCTTGTCACCTGTGTGAAAAACAGTTTTGATCCAAGATATAAAATCATACAATTATAGAATCTTAGAATTGTAATGGGCCCCATAGGATCATCAAGCCCATTGGTAGAATCCCCATTCAGTTTGTAGGCATGTGCATGTAACATGTGCTTAATAACTGTTGAACTGGAGAAAACATTTCCTGGTGACTGATTAGCCAGTCTCTGCATGAAACCCTTTTAATGATGGGGAGTTCATTGCCTTTGCAAAGCAGCCTCTTCCATTTTAAAACAGCTCTGATTTCCAGAAACTTCTTTCTGAGCCCAAAACTATGTTGATTTGTAATCTTATATCATTCATTGCTCATAGCTGCAGAAAAAAAAATTAGTTTTATAATTTGAACGTTTGACTGAAAAGTATTTTGCTGCCACAGTCACATTTATCACAGCCTTCCTTTTCAAACCTCCAAAGGGAAAGGGAAACAAAAAAAAACACATACTTTGCATAAGTTTGGGCAAGTTAGAGCAAGATTTGTTTGCTCAAGGTGCTACTTCCTTGTCCTTTTAACATTTTCACAAAAATGTTAAAAAGGACTAAAGGCAAAAAGAGAACAGTACAATCTGCATTGTAGTTACGTCAGTAAATGGTGTACTGAGCATGTTGGTTGAATTCTCTAGGAATGTTTACTAAGGTACTAGGGCAGAGAGGAAGCCTGTGACTGATTCTGTCAAAAGTTTTTGTTGTTTTTACAAAACTACTAGAGCCATCTGAATACGACCAACCGGGCCCTGGGCATTAGCTTGGGGTCCTTTCCCTGAAGAAGGGGCAATTAGAAACAGATACCGTGCCCTAGCTCTCAAAACTTGTGACCTGCACCTTCCACCCAGGGGGTGAGATTCCTCATCAGCCTCTTCCTACTCATTGGTGAGGAGCTGCTTCTTAGCCTTGGTCTCTTCCCAGACTGAGGAGGAGGCTGAATTACCCTAGTTTTATAGAGGAAGGCTCAGGGAACCACTGAGACCATGAGACCTGCTGGATTCCTAGCAAACCTGGAGCCCTGGGGGGAGGGGATGGGACTGGAACACACTTCTGTAAGGCTTTCTGGGACTTGTTCTATTTGTCCTGAAGGTCCTGTGTTCTGCTTGATGTCCCTCTCCAGGGATGAACCTGCGGCTCTGAGTTCCAGGCTGCGGATGGTGGAGGGAATGCAAGCTGCTTGTAGTCACTGCCCCCCTCCCCTCCAGCTTGCCCCCTGCCCTGGTATTTGGTCCCAGCAGGATGTAGAGAGAAGCCCCTCACCCATGTTTCCCTTTCTTCCTTCCCAGCCCAGCTTTGTGCTTTGACTTAACCCAAATGAAGGCATCCATTAGGAAAGGCATTGGAGACAAAACAAGATACTAGCATTGTTCTGCCCTTGTACAGAATGATAGATGCCTTCACCATAAAGTGCAGCTCTGGTGGTTTGGACCTAACGAGAGAGAATAGCACCTAGAGAAGTTCCAGAAAAAGGAAATTACAAAATTTAAGATAATCACGAATTTGAACCCCCCAAGTCACAGGTAGTAGAACTAAGAGATACTCCTTGAAATCAGAATGAGATGAGATAAATTAACAGAAGTACTCTTATTCCATGGGTAACAAACTAATGAAGTGCCTACAGAGATACAAAAAAATGTAGCAGTTAAAAAATGAAGGAAATTCGAGGGTGAGTACCAAAATGGAGGAACTAGTGTGTTTTGGAATTGATGTCAATGACAATTTTACCTCTTCACAAAACATCTGTCCCTCGGTACAGGCAAAATGATGAGCATGACAAATCGTGAGTTTGATGCAATATGGCAACTGCTTTGTTTTCACCTTGGCTGGAAATATTACAAGTACGTATCACTGATCATGAGGACAACCAGGAGAGAATATGACTGGATTTCCACAAACCCATCCTAGATCTACATAGATAATTTTAACAAGCCATTGGGACAATAGTATAATCTTGTTTGTAAAAAAAAATGTATTTGTTGTGCACCTGATAATGTTGCTATTTCTGTGCTAAATATCTTACATGGTATCTTAGGCCGCTTAGGCTGCCTTACCAAAATGCCACAGATTGGGTGGCTTAAACAGTAGAAATTTTCTCACCATTCTGGAGGCAGGAAATCAGAGATCAAGGTGTCTGCAGCGTTTGTTTCTACTGAGCCCTCTGTCCTTGGCTTGCAGACAGCTGCCTTCTCACTGTGTCCTCACGTGGACTTTCCTTTGTGCATGTGCACTCCTGTTGTCTGTTCCTCTTGTAAGGACACCAGTCCTATCGATGAGGACCCAACATTTATGACCTCATTTAACCTTTTTTTTTTTTTTGGAAGTTGGAAATTTATTTTATTTTTTCATTTTTTATTAGTTTCAGGTGTACAAAACAGCCCAGTGATTAGACATTTACACACCTCACAAAGTGATAATCCCAACAAGTCTACTACCCATCTGATACCATACATAGCTATTACAATACCATAGACTATATTCCCTATGCTGTACTTTATGTGTTGTGACTATATATTTTAAATTATAGTTGACATTCAGTATTATTTTATATTAATTTCAGGTGCACAATGTAGTGGTTAGGCATTTATATAATTTATGAAGTGATACCTCTGATAAATCTAGTACCCATCTGATACCATACATAGTTTTTTTTTGTTTGTTTGTTTTTTGAAAGATTTTTATTGGGGAATTGGGGGGATGGGAACAGTGCTGGGGAACTGGGGGAAGGGGAACATACAAGTTGCTGTCATCATTTTTGTTCTTCAATCTAGTTGTGGAGGATGTTGCTTCACTGGCCCAAGTTGGCACCGTCATTGCGCTCTTCCCTGTTGAGGCAGATCAGTCGCCGGCTTCTGGACGGCCGCTCACTGCGGCTGCTGGCCGCTCACGCTGGCTACTGGCTACACACGGTAGCCCATGGCAACCCACTGCCAAGGGGGCTGCAGCCTACGCCGTCGCCGGTGACTCACGGCAGCCCAGCTCCAGGTTGAGCTATTGTTCAGCATCTTAGCTGTGGAGGGCAGTGTCACTGGCCCTCATATGTGGGATCCGAACCGGGGCCCTCTGGCATCCCAAGCGAGTTCTTAACCATTACGCCACTCGGCCGGCCCCCATACATAGTTTTTACATTATTAATTATATTCCCCATTCTGTATTTCACATTCTCATGATGATTTTGTAACTACCAATTTGTATTTCCTAATCCCTTCACCTTTCTCACTGACCTCATTTAACCTTAATTACCTCCTTAAAGGCCCTATCTCCAGATATAGTCACACAGGGTGTTAGGACTTCAACATGAATTTTGAGGGGCACACAATTCAGTCCATAACATAGCTTACCATGTACGAGGTCTGACAAGTTCATAAACTTGCCACCTGCGTGATTACATTGGCAGCACTATACAAACACCTCGGTAAGGTTTCATAACCTTGGTATATCAGTGTCTCACAGCTGTGTTTGTGTCCACGTGTGGTGGTGTCTTGCTGAGTGGGGTTCATTATTGCGTGTTTTTGTGTGCTGTTGCAAGAATTAGAGCTTGAATTAGAGCAGTGAACAAACATTAAATTTCTTGTTAAACTTGGCAAGAGTGGAAGTGAAATCAGGGACATGTTAGTCCAAGTTTATGGGGATAATGCCATGAAGAAAACAGCAGTGTACAAATGGATTAAACATTTTTCTGAGGGGAGAGAACGTGTCACTGATGAAGAGAGGTCAGGGAGGCCAGTAATGAGCAGAACTGATGAAAACATTGCAAAAATTCATCAAATTGTGCGTCGAAATCATCGGCTGACTGTGAGAAGCATAGCAGACCAAGTAAACATTGATAGAGAAACAATTAGGAAAATCTGAACTGAAAATCTTGGCATGAGAAAGGTGTGTGCAAAAACAGTCCCGAAGGAACTCACTGATGAACAAAAGCAAAGGAGAGTCAACGTTTGCCAAGACCTTTTGGAGAGGCGAGATGATGTTTTGGGCCATGTTATCACTGGTGGTGAAACATGGGTGTACCAATACGACCCTGAAACAAAGTGTCAAAATGCACAATGGAAGTCAGCCAATTCTCCATGACCAAAAAAGTTCCATCAGCACAAATCAAGGGTTAAAACGATATTGGTAACCTTTTTTTGATATCAGAGGGATTATTCATTATGAATTTGTGCCAACTGGACAAACAGCTAACCAAGTTTACTATTTGGAAGTGCTGAAAAGGCTGCATGAAAAAGTTAGACGAAGACCTGAACTTTTCACCAACACTTCATGGCTCTTACTTCATGACAATGCACCAGCTCACAGGGCACTATCTATGAGGGAGTTTTTAGCCAGTAAACAAATAACTGTATTGGAACACCCTCCCTATCCACCTGATCTTGCCCCTAATGACTTCTTTACCCAAAGATAAAATCTTGAAAGGAAGACATTTTGATGACATTCAGGACATCAAGGGTAATACA